ATTTTTCAAAATAAAGTATCTGGTAGCAGCTGTTTAGCCATCTTGAACCATCTTCGCTGTTGTTCACACTCACACGGGTGTTGGTTACATAGCCATTACGTTCTGAAGGTAGTTGCTGAACGTCAACGCGAAGGATATACGGCCCTGTGTTAAAAGACTCGTACGGTAGCGAATACAAAGATGACGATGCGCGCGGTGGATCTCAATCTTACTGTAATTCCTATATGTATAAAAGTAAAAAAAAAATCACGTTACGCAGCAATAAAGATGCAGGTTTTTTTTTATCACAATCTAGAAATTTTTGAAATTAAGTATTAACAAATTACTAGGGGTGCCTTTATTCAGACTCAGGATAAAGCGGCTTAAGACTGAACAAAATTTGCGTAAAGAATCGCTATAGCGACTATTTTATCACAAATGCTGTGTATGGTGAGGAATAAAGAGTCGGCAATTTGAAAGATGCTCCTCGTAGTGGCAAACCAATTTTGAGCTTAGCCATTAATCATGCGAAAGTTTAGCAACAATGATGCGTGAGTGGCTATGATACAATCAAGTAGTTTTAAACTATTCAAAGAAAACTTAGATGTTTGGGTCACACGCGAACTTACGCGACCTTATTTCCATCCGTGAACGAAAAGACAACGGAATCTAGCTATTTTTTAACCGCTCGCTTTTCTAAAATGTTTTTAGCTGCACATTTTTGCTGCGTATAGTTGCTTTTATAAGCGATAGAAAGTGGGCCATAAGCTGACAAAAAAATAGAGCCTGCCTTTTCAAACGGGCAATCATGCTTTTAAATTATAATTCTATACAGGACCGATGAAACTCTAGGTCGGTTCGTTCCTCGAACACGCTGTCTACTAAATAGACATTACTACACAAGTTGAAAAATTCCGACTAATTAAAATGAAAGGGATATTTAATTGTTTGACTGATAATAACGACGCTGACTAAAAATAGGACTTACAAAATTGTACTGCAACAATCGTGTCGGAGTAGAGATTGAGCAAGTTTATCATTGTTACTACTCGTTACTATTCTGGGTGACGCGGCCTTCACCTAGAAGTTATCTATCGCTAGCTTCTCTGTCAATTACCTGGCGCATGACAGCGTTACCATGGAACAGGCTTTTTGCGCAGCAGCCGCAAGCCATACCATATCCAGAACAGGCCGATGAGTGGGGTGCGTCTGCAAACGCTAAACATTCAAGCTGCCCTAAGATAAAAGGGTCTGCTTCCAACGCTGCACTACCGTTAAGCATAACGCAGCTTTTATCTCGTGTAAGTCTCATACCAGCTTTCGAAAAAATAAATGGCGGCAACAATTCAATTAACGCAAACACTAAATTCATTCATCTTTGGATTTTCAAAAACGGCTCTGCCTCGTTTGTCAAAGCCGTCCTATTGTACTAGAAAAATTTCGCTGTCCTTAAAACGGACAGATGTTACCAACTGGGTAGCGAAACATTTTACGTTTGTGATGATTCGTTCTGGGTCGGCTATTTGCCAGCGAGCGGACAAGACAGTGGTCGAAACAGCGAGCACTAGTCAGAACATGCATAAATGGCATTTCGCGGCTTTTGCAATCATGTAAACTTCAGATGAAGTAGACATAGGAGTGCACAGTGGCCCTGCAAATGATATTGTACCGTTACTTAATATTCTCAAGACGAGACCAATATACTCTGAAAACTTCGCATAGTGAGATGATTTTTCGTTGTTTCGATGTGACTGATCCATTCCCGAACGCCTATACGACTTATTTGACACTGAAAAAAACATATGGACCCTTGCAACAGATGCTTCGTTGCGATTCAGAGTAACATTGTTAGAATAAACAATAAAACAAATGCCATCCATTCGTGTACACCTTCAGAACCTGAATGCGCATAGTGGGCCGACCTTGCAGCGTGATTTTACTCCAGCAATGATAATTGCATTTTTGAATATACATTTTGGTGCTAGCTCGATATTTGGTGCTCAAAATACTTCGTCATCGTGAAGATTCAAGTTTGCCCGATGTGCTTTCGATCTGGCATATTTCTGACACTTGGTTTTCTCCAGCCATATGCTTATCTTTAGTTTATATTAAAGGTAGTTCACTTTCAATATTGCTTCAGCCTCTTAAGTCCATCATTTTAGGTGCAGATCATTTGAACAGACTTGAGACGATCGAAGGAAAATGCCTACGAGATCTCATTCGACTCAACTCTCCTCTAGTTCGACCTAACATATCAGATAAGGACGAATGGTCGCGGAACCCCAGGACAGTGAGAAAACATTTACACATCAATTTATATCCGTGACAGCAGCATCATAGATATCAAAATTTTTCATAGATAAGGACAACTAGATATAATTGAACAACAACAAAAACTATTCAAGTTGATGATAGCGAAAAACCTACAACGACAGTTGTGAGTTCATCCCACGAAGTATCGCCAATATTACAACAATTAACTTTTGTATTTCATTTACTTGAATGATGATAATACCTATATTGTCTATAGGTTTAGAAATATCCGTATGTATTCCTCCTCATTAGGCGCGTCTACGTAGACATCGAAAGTCCATCGCCAGTCTGAAACTGTACGTCTCCAGTATGAATGGAAAGGTCCGCCCCATAAATGATACAACAGATAAAAGCCCAAAGTGACTGCCATATAATAATTGCATGCGTTAATGTAAGTATAGGTTGTAGTCGCCAATTTCCAACAATAAACAGCTATAGCTTTCTTATTTTAAGCGACTATTTGGGAGGATTTAAATTTGCCGCATCTTTATCAACTAAGATTCGAAAAAAATCGAGTGCTAGAATAATTGCTTGGCCCACACGGTCACTAGACCTATCAAGTTTTCCTTTCTCTTATAAGAACGTTATTTGACTGAATAGCTTCGGGCAGTGCAATTTTCTGGTAGGCATAATTTACTTTTTCGTCAGTGTCAGACTGAGATATAGCTAATGCTCCTTCTCGAGAGGTCGTCTTCTGCAAAATGCAAGGTTGTGACGTCTGTGACGTACGCAGTTCTTCTCTATAGATAAAAAAGCCCCAATATGTACTGTTTCTTCTGCTCCTTTATATATATAAACCTATCTCAAAGTGCACGTATGCTAACATCTGATTGTCACGTCTATCAATATATCGCACCTGTTCGTTTCGAGTGTTTTATAATTTTAGTAAGAATCAAAAATAAAATAGGCCAAAACGGCTACTTCCTTTTGTACTCACGTTGCAGCAGTAACCCATTCCTGCATTGAACCCCTCCAATGGCAGAAAACCGTAGACAATAATGGTGCATACTTTGATTGGAAATAGCATAACTATGCTAGTTAAAAGGAAAATCAGACTTCATCTTGCGTATCATATTGAATAACCTACCATACGTTTGCTGAGGTTCAAAGGGCATATTTAAAAGTATAAAAACAAAAAATCTCAGTTTCCGAGAACGAGTGCGAGGATCCTCTTTTTTTTTTTGTTTGCTTGAACATAGAAGATATATCAGAAAGGCTTTTTTTTTAAAAAATTGAATTTCAAAAATGGTAGCACTTAAAAAGATCTAGCAACGTCAGAAGTGACCTAGAGCAAATTATGCTATTATGCTTTCTTTTCGTAGACTTGATTGTTATAGCTCAAGGTACTGTGCATATGCTGTTTATTGATGCATCCGTCCCTCTCATTTATTAGATTCACCGCTAAATCCAGGTAAAATAAGAGTAGCAGCAGTTTTCACTCAAACCTCAACATAAATGCGTCCAAAGCTGTTTTACATCCTTTCTACTGGGAGTTTGGTTGTAAATAAATTGGTTTCGGTGACCATTGTGAGTAGGTGCTATTATTAAGGGACACCCTTTTCCTTATCCTCCGAGGGCTGTTGCATTTACCTCGTTCGGCTGCTGGCGTAGAACAACCCCACTATGTTATTCACGTTCGCAACCTCCAAGAAATAAGCCGAGATTGATATTGAAAGGACAACGCGCATGCAGACAAAGTCAGTTTAATGTTGCAGGCCTTTATGTCTTGATTCTGCCGGCCATGCGAGTGTTAGAAGCCAGATGTACGAACGTTCTCTTGCGGTAATGAAACGACTAAAAGTTAACAAGTACTTTGATCGTTCGTTCTCTGTCCCATCAAAATGCTTTAAGGTAGTTGTGCTTACCCATTGTTGTTTTTCTGGTTACACCGTTATTTTTTTATAGACTATTAGAGCATGCATATGAAGTGCCTTTAAGCCACACGTATATATTGTGATTGTGTAACACTTAAGGTCATACGCGAACAATATTCCTTGTTGTTTGATTATTAAACACAACGAGACGTACCCTATGTAAATCTGTCCTGATAGATGGTACTTTTCACATAGTCTACTGTCCCCCCCTACGGAAGCTAGACCACAAACATAAGAATTATTAAGAGAGTTCAAGTAGACAAATTTTTAAGTTATTCAAAGACGTATCTATCTTCTAAGTTACTGTAAAGTTACTAAGCGAATTTCAGGAACGACGTTCCTTGACTAAGCCGACTCAAGTGTGCAAACCTTACCTTGGACCTCGTATAGGACTCAACAATTTCGCACGTAGTTCCGTACAAGTGTATGCCATGCATTATGCACGCAAATATCGTTCATTACGTGGCTAGCAGATTATTAAGTATCTTCGGCAAGATACTTGCATGCGTAAGCAACTTTTGTATTGCATCTTGAACTCATCGCGCTCGTTCTATTCATTATTAAAAGCCATATTCTTCGCTATGCCATAGCACCGTTAGGTACGAGCCGCCAACACGGACAATTAACATTACTGTTTTATAACAACACATGAATTGAAGTTGACAGATAACGTCTTTGGAAATACTAATTATACGTTAGAGAACTTAACGGATACGCTGTTTTGCACAGACGCAGTGCAGAGAGAAGAAAATGGTGGCTTCATGCCTATGCAACCGTTATAACGAATGCATACGACGTGCCCCGGCGAAAGGGGTTGTCACTACTCGGAGTACCTAGATCACGTAGTGATCTCTTCAGACGACATATTGCTGTTTGGAAAGGTAAATAAAAATCAAAATAAACACCGTCCAATTAAACAGTTGTTATGCTAGCCAGTTCTTCAATCTAGCAGACACAGTTCTGCCGGATACCATCGGCCTATTGTTTTTCGTTGGCTGATAACAACGATCAAGCGATATCATTGAATCACAGCTCAAAATTTTACACAACGTCTTACTAAAGCGTAGCTTGATTAGTTTCATAAGTCTCCTTTTGTTTGGAAATAGTTTATAGTGTGACGCTTATTGTACTTAGCAAGGTGTCGCGTACAAACGAACAGCAGGTGTGGCGGAGCCATGGGATTAAGTCCTTCAGCACAAAAACCCGAACGTATACGGGGTCTGCACCGTTCCGAAGCTCATTTTGAAGAAAATGCCGACCCAGTTGACGTTTTGATGGCCAGCAAAGGTGACGCCCTCTTGGATAAATATGGGTCAGTATGGCAACCTGCCATGGCATTCGACCGACAACTTTTTCCGAATATGATACATTTGGAAAGCGGAGGCGTCGGCAATGCTATACTGTACGTTCAGGATGAAAGTGGTAACGAATTCGCTGTAAAGCGGGTTGAAATGAGAAAGAATCGAGGCTTTGCTGCGAAGCTGGAAAAGGATTTACTCCTTGCCGTAGATTTTCCTTTCGTTTTGCAGCTTTACGCCACTTACAAAGATCACGCCTATGTGTATTTTTTGCTCGAACTTACCCATTGTAGTTGTATTTCGGACCATATGTTTCAACCTTACATAAATGAAGAGGTTATATGTTTCTGGGCGGCCCAGATTGTGCTGGCAGTCGAATACCTCCATTCGGCAAATATAGTTCACCGCGACATAAAGCCTGAGAACGTGTTAGTGTTTGCCGATGGCTATATCAAATTGGCAGATTTCGATCAGACGCTAAAACTTCCTCCTCACCGACAATTCATCGGATTATGTGGTACGGCAGGTTATTCTCCTCCGGAAGTGATATCCAATTGTGTCTACTCAAAAGGAGTCGACTGGTGGACTGTCGGATTATTGAACTACGAGCTCTTTTTCGGCCAAATCGAAGCTGAATGTGAAGAGCAGGAACTTGAGAGATTACGTAATTACGGACCCGGCTTTAACAAGACTCTCGATTTGGATGCAGGAAGTGCGCAGACGCAAATTAGCAATGCGGCAAGAAATTTCATATCTGAATTGCTTCGGGTGGATCCAATGTTTCGACTCGGCGTTCAATATCCCGGTAGTTCTGCTGTGAGGAAGCATCCCTTTTTCGAAAATATAGACTTTATTCGTTTAGTGAAGAAAAAGATCAGGTCGCCAGTCCGACCCAGCGAGACCTCAGCAAGGCTACTTGCCATAGGCGGCGCCAAACCGCTAGAATTCAATGAAAACCCGGTAACGCCCGAGATAGCAGAGGAGTACGTGGAGTTCTAGGGCACGATCTATCCACTGAGTGCGGCGCATACATCCTACGAGTCTTAAACATGCAGTAAGGGCCAACAATTGATATCGATGTTGGACACTTTTCATCGATTGATAAGCAGAACGGCTGGATCGAAAAGCCGGTAGAAAACGCGCGATATGCTTAGTGGCAGCCGTCTACAGACAGGTTCCCGGCCAGTACGGTGTAGCAATTATAGTCCGCCACGTTTCTAAGGCATCATCATTCTATGGGCCTGTAATATATAGTACCAGCGTGACATGTTTTTTTCTGAATATATACATGAAAGAATCACGAGCTTCTCTCTAGTTATATCGAGAATGAATTTTCGTACTGTCATTATTATTAACATGACGAAACGTTTATTTAAGAATGATGAATTGGAACTGTGACTTGATCATGCAATGTGTTTTGAACAAACAATCGATTGAAGTATCTATATTACGTAAATATGAAACGGTCACAGGTATAAGTTCCATCCGCCATACATGAATACATATATTACATAAAATGTTCGAGGATAATAGTCAGACCCGGTAAGTTGAAATAATTTCAACGGTGCGCGACTTAACGGTTGAACTACGATAACTAATCCGTGTTAGAATGGAAATAACTCTGTATTTTCAAGCCATAGACTATGAAATAATGGCTACTTCTATGTTATTTAATGTTATGGCTACGTATAAAAAATGCGTGCAAATTATCGCTATATCGCCTTGGGCTTTAAGGAATGGTGTATTTATTTTCTATTGTGATATATTCGAAAATCTGGGTTATCAGAAGAACCGGGAACGACTACTTCGGCTAATCGTACAGGTTATAGGCTATATGTTCTAGCAACACTAAATTTTTTAATTGTGGCCTGCATTTGCTACCTCGACCCACAACACCCACATGCGCAGAAGGCTATCTGGCTGTAGACCCAACAGGGCATCCTTGTTTTTTCTATTGTAGCGCCTGCGGTAAACTTAAGTTTCGACACGCATCAGAACCTAAAGAGTACGCTGTAATCATTTGCAATACGTTGAGTATTCTGGAGATGACTTTTTAGGCGTTCGACTATCGCTATGAGCTACTTACATTAGATCAAATGAAACTAAATGCCGTAACAACGTATCTTCCCCGAGGCGTTTCGACCCTAGTCCCATTTTCTCGATTATTAGATTTACAATATACACTTTGCAAATTGCAAGTAGGCCACCAGGTCCGGGATAATAGATATGCACCCTGAACCGGGTAATTGGAGACTGTGCAGGGGTATCGTCATTCACCGCGTGAGGTATAGGGAAAAGTTCGTTGATACGTTCCGAAAGCTTGCCTACATTTAGGCGTTGTGACAGAGCTTGGCATTTGACAGTGCGCGCGAGCGCGACTTAGACAGTGCGTCTATCGCCATCGGTGCGCAGACACAAATGCTTGCATGCTCTGACAGTGAATAATTCCCGCCCTGAATCTTTACCCTGTGTAAGTTTATCTCGAATATATCGATAACCCAACTTCCTGCACGTTCTCGGAAAGTAGGTATTAAGTGAGGTGAGAATAATCATATTATATTATTAGACGTTGCATAAGCACACTAGCTGTTCAATGGCCAACTTGCCAGAACGGAGCTCTCGACAGTGGCACACTTCGTTGGGCAGAGCTACTTGGACGACTCACAACAGACGACGCGGCCAGGATCGGAAAAAATGACGATAGAAAGTAGATAGAAATAGTGGTAATCGCAGGAGAACTACAAATATGGAAACTGCTAGCGATATACGGGGCCCGACAAGGTTATTAGTTACACGAATGAGCTACAGGTTGGGCAGTCACAAAAGATAGTACTAAAAGTATCTAATTCCGACAGCATTGCTGCAAATGTCTGTATGGATACCAATGAATTCGCTGGCGAAGAACTTTTTGGGGTTGATCCCAAAAAGAGAGAATCCCAGAGAATCATCTGTGTGCGGATTGTCTATTATGATCAACTGCGTCTTAGCTAGCTAGCTCTTATCTTTTTCCAAAGCTGTACGCTCCAACGTAAGTCTGTCATAGTTATTAGGGTACCAATCGAACGATGGCAACGCGCTTTGGGAACAATAACAGCGTACCATTATCAGAGAGCTGTCAGTTGGGGGAGTATAACGCTCACAAATCAAAGAGGAAAAGTGTATGGCAAAACGTGTTTAGTTTGTATATTTGCGTCGTGGATTTGCATGATGTCCACGTCACCTGTAGCTTGAGCGCCTATACTACTTGCTTTTTCTGCACTGAAGGTTTAAGATGTCATTTCCGTCACGTCGAGGGTCGATGCCCCCTCCGCGACGTCAATACCAAAAGATGTTTTTGACACGTCGAACAGCAAAGACAAAAGTGGAAACGGTGCTCCATATTCCAATTGTCCTCCGCGTCGAAGGTCAAAACCGGCTTCATTATTCGAGGCCAGAAATCACCTCCGCGACACTGAACTGTGTCGCATAAGAACCTACAACCCACCAGCGCAAGCCCTATTCCATGCACAAACTTCAGCTCGAATTAACTTTATTTTTCCGAAAATCCTATCGGAGTAGTAGTAGTGGCCATTTAATTTTGAATTCAATTTTTTTTAACGGAGCATTTCCAACTGAGACGAATCTTAAGTTCCTTAAACAATCGATATCAGTCTATTCAGGAGGAGCATGAAGCTACAATAACATGGGCTAAAATGAAAGACTGCATTTAGACAACAGCAGCTGGAATATTCCCGCTCTACGAACTACGTATCTATCCGAATATTGCTTCAATCGGTATAGAGATTTGTACGATAGGGCACAAAACTTGCAGAAAATCGTAGCTGCTCCAATGGATGATGCCTCATTTTCCATTCGAATCAGTAAAGTAGACTCGTCGTTGGCAGCCATTTGCAAAAAACCATAAGAAATATATACGCCGCCTAATTATATCGAGTTCTACGTTCGTCACCGTCAGCTGGCTCTCAGCACGAAAGAAAACGTATCTATGCCCGGATTCGAACCTGGCCCACCACGTGTCGTTGCGATTAGTAGGCAAATACGTTACCCGTTGTGTGCCGTCGAATCACTTCGAACACTTTGTTAATATCGAGGGTTTATCTGACGTATCGAGGTATCACCAGCGTACAGCACGGCCAACGAAACCCCACCTCGTAGAACTATTTAAATTAAGCAGTTAAAGATAAAATCAAATAATTGAAAAAACCGCCATTTTTTCATTGAGGCAATTAAAGTTATCTAATACACAAAACTTGTCTCAGCTTAAAAAGCAAAAGTTGGGTAACAGTTGTACAGAAAAAAAGCGTACGCATTGTCAAGTATTCTGACGTTTTCAAATCCTGTTCTCATCCGACTTTGTTGACTTACATAATAAGTCTTACATAATAATATTTTGTTCGACTTGTCCCAAAAACGACTCGTGGCATTAAACGTAGCCGCAGCAAATGAAAAGCAAGTGATTATCAATATCCGTGTGTTCCTGCCTCCTGTTTGGTCAGTTTCCGGCTTAGTGCAGACTATGCATTTTGCGTAAATGACCACCCGTGAAAACGATAGGTCTATATAAAAGTTAATGCTTGTGAGAAATATGTTTATTCCTACAGCTGCACTGCCAGGACAACAGCTGCGCTTGCCCTGTCCCGTAGAGGCTACGAGTCATCATTAATTTTGACGCTTGCTAATCTACCATTTCTAAAAATGACATCGTATCACCGTCGAGTGGCAGCGCTGTCGCCAAATCAAAATCTGCAAACTCGACTGATCATCCAGAACTGTTGGTTCAAAGTCCCAGTGAATTCCGTTCGCTAAATGTAGATGTCGAAGGACGAGAGTGGCCTGAGCCAGCCAGAAGCAGGTCAGGGTCTTATTATAGTGCTTGCCTTCCTTAGAAGTTTCAATAAGCACTCCCTTGTCCCTGCCGAACTCGTAGCAAGGTAACTAGATTTATAGATTATTGCTGTTTTAATAGGCATTTCCTCTGTGGGAATCCGTTTTAAAGCGTAACATTTTTTTCCTTGACAAGGCCTATTGAAGCATATCTGTATACACATATATATACCCGCGAGCTAAACGTCCTTGATGGCGGGTTGTGCTGCCGTACACGCATCATGAAATCACACGCCATAGGCGACGTTGTGGAATCTAATTATGAGTGGTCTTAACGGAGATTTGGTTTCAAGAGTTCAAGCGTCAAGTCTACGGAATTCATTAGACCGTGGGCCGATGCGGGCTGTAAACCACTAACAACGGTGCCATAGTTAATACACTACTCAAATATGCGCTGCGTGGGCATTTGGTCCTGAAAATTGGGTATAATATGTAATCCGAATTCATCAAGTTCACTAATTTTAATCAATGACAATTCTTCTCAACGGCATAACGCCGTACTCCCTTGATATCAACTTTTTTTTTTTTTTTTTTTTTTGTCAGTCAGTAGGTGCGAATGAGTTCCCAAACTATTGTAAGATTAATTAGATCGCCTGCGTGTCGCTCCTCTGAAGTTTACTACTGCGCGAAGAGACATTTTCAATGCTTGGTTTGTAAGCAAGCGACCTAGTCAGACACAGCTATCTTAAATTGCGATCGTATACCTTAAATAGATACTGTGGGTTCAGCAGAGCCTACGTTTGTTGCTCAGAATGACCAGAGCTTGTTTGAACGAGTACAACCTCAACGTTGACAATGATTTAGGCGATTTTTCACCATTTTTTCCAACATCACCACCATCGTTCGAACCAAATTAATGTTGTCTTCTATTGACTGATACACGCGGACACAACGTTGCCACTCCTCTGGTAAACCGTGTTCGTGTCAAGACCAGAAATTCTACATAGTCCAACCCTCACAATTCCTTACATTAGATGAGAATGTCGCTAAAGGCGTCTGTTGTGATCCCCGTGCTTGTGCTCACGATTGCTGGCAGCTGGCCGTGCTACTTTTGATTCTTCACATGTAATTGAAGTAGGTGCGTATTCGTCGCAGCTACCGCCACGACCGCACTTATCGCAAGAAAATCAGGCCGCAGTCGGTAATTATGGCGCCGTGTATCTTGGATATTTCTTACCACTATAACACCCCCAGCCCTGGTGACCTGAGAAATTTCTTCAGCAGTCATTCCCAATTACACCTATTGAATAAGCGATTCGTAGCGGACTATTAGTGACGAGTTAAACACAACGGTGGAGTTCATATCACACAAACAGGCAGCATTGAGTCGCGCAATGGTCAAGTGCCGACTGCGTGCGCAAGGTACAACAGCTGCCTTGCGTACGCAGAACAGCCCCGCTAGCTCGATTCGTGTAACGAAGCAAAACCCCAGAATCGGGGTTAAAAAGAACGACAAAGTCAGCGGCAGCGTATTCTGTGATCGCTCGTTAGCAGTTGCCGTGGCATAGAGGCAAAAGCCACTATTACGGCATGAAATAGAAATGTGGATGCTTCATGATATATTGCCGAAAGAATCTGTCGGTTACCAGGCGGACGCAAACCTTACAAGGGTCTCAACTCCAACAAAGAGTTCATCGTTAGTTTGCTCCGGAATTTCTCGGTAAGATTGGTGGCCTGTATCTTGACCTTTTGCTTTTCCTCCACATTAATTGTGACCTTAACATAGACAGGAAGACTTAGTTATTGGACACGCTTCAATTTACTGGAGAATTCTGTAACTTCGTGCAGCTCTTAGTGATCGCCACCTCATTTCGTAAAAAAGTACCTCAGCGGAAAAAAACGGAGAGCTTTTTGGGTAGTAAATAGTACACTGAACGATTATTACGCGTTGTTACAGCACTACCAATGCCTCGCATGTCCGTCACCTTCGTTACTGCGTTCAACTTCCTCG